GGGAGGAGTGGCCATCGCTCTGGGAGGAGTTCTGCCTGGCATTCAAGCGGTCCTACAGCCCGGGGGAACCGAGAGGCCAACCGACTCTGGGCGGCATCTGCGGCCAGTTTCTTAGGATCCACTGTGGGATGGACCTTTACAAGAGATCCTTCCTGTACAGCCATCAGCATCTATAACATCTCTTAATGAAATGAGGATAATGAGTTATAACAACAAATAATTTCCCTTTGGGATTAATAAAGTTTATTTGAATTGAATTGGTGTAATTTACAGCTCAACGGTGTAATTTCAACATGAGGTTTCAACAGTGGCTGTTGATCTGAGGTGCAGTTGGAGAATATGGAGGTAGTCATCCTTGGTTATTCTATCTACGTTTTGAAATGGTACCACAGCATGATACTATCACCAACATGCCTGACAGACAGCGCTGTGTTCTCAAGTTTTAAAGCCTCACCTCGATTCCACCAATCGAACTTCTCGCCGTTGAGTTGTAAAAGACTTCAATCTTTGGCTCGTCTGACCATAAAATGGTGTCACTTTTGGAGCAGGTGCTTCTTCCATGGTCCTCTCTGTCCATGAGGATGGACACCTGTCTTCACTGTGGACAGGGGCGCTGGTGGTTCAGTGGTTGGCAGGCTCAAGCCAGGGTTCTTCCTGGTTTGTTCCTGAACATCTGGACCATTTTCATTTCAACTGAGGGTGATGAGTGTTGGTCATTCCACTGAGAGTTGTCAATCTAAATGGATTCACACGCCAACGACTTTCATGGTCAATAGCGGCGGCGGCTAGCTGTAGCACTTCCAGTGCCGCCTTGGACTTTTGCTGCTAGAATAAATATGTAACATTGAATCCAAAGTGATGTAAAGATTTATAAAACAGTATTTTTAAGAACCACAGGTAAATTTTACACTTTTTTTTTTAATTTTGACAGTTTAAAATTTTCTATTTATAATTTTAATGACCGTAAATTAGTTTTTAACTGTTAATCTAGTGAAGCTGTAATTTAAGTTGAAAAAAAAGAAAACTACAACATGTTGCTCGTTTTAATTTCTTTTTAACTAATGTATCTGCTTCAGGGTCCAAGAAGAAGACAAAGGTCATCAAAAACAACCCCAACCCTGTTTGGAACGAAGTAAGTTCAGCTCTAAACGTCAAATTAATGATTTTCATTCAGGTAAAATGACGACTTGAAAATATGTGAGGGAAAAACCAGGAGGATTGAACTTTTGCTCTGTTTGTGCTTCCAGTGGTGTTCAAAATGCTGGAAGGTGTAATTATGGCATTTGGAATGAAATGGAGATGAAAATGTACAAGTTTCCTCGTTCTGTTACAGATGTTCACGCTCGTCTTCCGTGTTCTATCACCATAATGTGTCTTTCTGTCAGGGTTTTGAATGGGATCTGAAGGGGGTTCCTCTGGACTCTGCAGCGGAGATCCATTGTGTCGTCAAAGACCATGAGAAAATGGGACGAAACAGGTAAAGACCAACGAGTGTCACTGGTGTCAGACTGATGGACCAGTCTGAACTCAGACTGTTTAAACATCATTATTCTCTGCCAAAATGTAAAAGAATCAGAGTTTACTTGGAGGGGAAGGAGCAGGCACGACACAGGTCATCCTTTCATTGTTGTTCCTTTTAGTCGTATTTCCACCCAGTCATGACTTGAGCCTGGACAGATTAATGGATCTGTATGAGCTGCTCATCGTACACGTATTCCAGGGTCTCTTTGGCGTGTTGACTAATAATGGTGGCTTCTGTACGCCTGACTGTGGATTTTATGAAAAAAAACATTTTAATTTTGCTCTTTCATGATTTAAATAATCACCGATAATAATACCCATGGAAAACCAGCATTTAATACCAGTGCTGTTGCACTGAACCTATTATTGCATCTCATCCATTACTCGACCAGTTCTGCCACTGTTTTTGATCTTGATTGTTCCAAAAGTCTAACAAAGTTGAAGTTTTTTCCCCACTGGTCTGTTCAGGTTCTTGGGGGAATGCTGGTTGGCTCTCAGAGACGTCCTCAACTCTCCTAACTTGGCCGCCACCTTCACCATGTCTTTGTTGGACACCAAGAGGAACAACACGGGGGTGAGAGATGACACAGCGCCCAGTCATCCATCCATCCTCTCAGCACCACGAGGCAACAACAAATATTAAATCACTCGTCAGTTTCCTGTCTGGGCCTTAAAATAGAGACGTTCTTGAACCATGTCCAAATAACACCTCCCTCTACTTTTTATATTTAGGCCTTTGGCTTGTCTAAACCCATTTACTGTCTTTTTTTTAAGTTTTTTAAATACGCCTAATAAATATGAAAGTTTATCGGACACCACGGTGGCACAGTTGGTAGAGAAGGTCACCGGATTGAATCCCGGTATTTCTGGGTGGAGTTTGCATGTTCTCTCCGTGCATGTGTGGGTTTTCTCCGGGTGCTCCGGTTTCCTCCCACAGACCAAAAGCATGCACGTTGGACTGATTGGTAACTCTAAATCAGGGATCTGCAACCTTTACAGTCAAAAGAGCCATTTCTGCCCCTTCGTTGACTAAATTAAACGTGTCCAGATCCAGATCTGCTACCATTGTCGTTATCAACTGGTGGCCCATGGGCCACTTCAAGTTTGTTAGAGGGGGCTTTTCTGGCCAGGAGGTGTCAAATTATAAAACTAAAACCATTGTTAACATTTATTGATATTTTTACATTTTGAGACAAAAAGAAAAGACTGGATTCCATCCTTCCATCCCTCCATCCATCCATCCATCCATCCATCCATCCATCCATTATCTTTACTCGCTTCTTCCTTTTCAGGTTACAGAGGGTCACTGGTGCCCATATCTAGGTTGCAAGTCCATCACAGAAGACTGGATTCTTGTAAAGTTAAAAAATATATATATTATTTTGTCAGATTAAAAAACAAAACAATGAAATGTGCAGGCTTATGTTGTTTTTTTATTGTGGAGAAATTGAGTATTGTTTTTTGAAGAAATAAAGCATAAAGTTGAAGGGAGTATAATTTACTCTGTGTATTAGTACTAGTATCCACATATTTGCAAAGGAAATGACAGGAAAACTGCTCAAACTAGTCATTTTTGTTGTTGTTGTGGTTATAACGTCCTATAAAATTCAGTTTTATGTCAGTTTTGGTCAAAGCTTGAAAGAGCCGCTGCAGAGGAACCAAAGAGCCGCACGTGGCTCCAGAGCCGCAGGTTGCAGACCCCTTCTCTAAATTGTCTCTAGGTGAGAGAGAGTGACTGATTGTCTCTGTGTGTCCCTGTGATGGACTGGAGACCTGTCCAGGGTGTCCCCCACCTCTCGCACAGTGACTGCTAGATATGGGCACCAGTGACACCCCCCCCCCCCAACACGACCTGGAAAGGAAGAAGCGAGTAAAGAAAATGGACGGATGAAATTTTATCTTAGAAGTATCAAAAATTTAATAAATCTGCAAAATCAACTGAAGCCCATTGTCACTCTACTGGAAAGTGCTCATAATTCTTTTCTATTCAATCTATAAATAATCTACTTTTTGACAAATCTTAAAGAATAATTAGATTTAAAGACGCAATAATTTCAAATGTGCTGTGAAAGGTTTTATGACGTAACCTGCAGCTGATATTTCTATTTCTTTTTTTAAATTATGTAATATCAAAAACAGAAAGTGTGTTTATCATAAAACAATTAAATATGACCCAAGCCAGCAGTCTCTATTTGTTTACACTCTTTACCTCGTACTGAGCTATGCTAAGCTAAAGGCTAATATACAGCTATCTACATGTTAGCTTGTAACATTCTGTTCCTTAGTTTTATTTTTCAAAGCTAAATTCTGATTATTTGACAGTATTACATTGTTAAAACAAAACTTAAACCCTATAAATGTTTACCCTGTGAGAAACTTCAGCTTTTGTGATTTGGCGTTCTCGCTGTCCCTTGTTTTTTGTTTTAATTTGATTTTTACAATCTACTTCTGTAAACTGTTATTTAACCCATTCATCAAAATGTTCCTCTCAGTCAGGACACGGGTGCTGTGACTTTTAGTTTTTGTAACTTTTTTACTGTTCAAAATATTTAATTATAATAATAATCTTAGTTCCTTCAAAAATATTTGTCTGTTTAAATTTACTCCAGAAGATTGGCTCTGTTTTAGTTTTCTAATACTTTTAATTTGTAGTTATACTTTTGCTATGCTTAGCCTTTTCATAACTTTGGCTTTCAAGTGGAATTTTAGCTAGTCTTTGTTGACGTTTAGCTATTTTGTCTTTTTCAATCTTTTGTTGTTTTAACTTTTTGCACCTTTTAACTTTGTGTTCTGCTTCTTTTAGCTTTAACAACTCACTTTTAACATTTTAGCTCATTTCAGCTATTTTTTTATCCCTCGGTCTTCATGCTACATTTTTTTAAAACATTTTATTTATTTATACACAGTTCTGTTTTCATTATAGTTAAACTATATTTGTATATTCCTCAGAGTAAAATAAATGCTGTAGATCAGTTTAATTGTGTAAGACCAATCAAATTAATTTAAGCTTTTTTATAAATTAAACATCTGATCAATGTTTGCCCCATCGTTTAGTATTAGGTCATTATATTTATCCTCCAAAGTAAAAATGTCATACCACTGAATATGTAGGAAACCAGCAGATGATGTGAAAGCTAAAAACAGTTTTGATACGGTAATGTGTTTACAGAGTAAAAAGAACACTTTACTAGTATAAATACACCTTGTACAGCTACTATACTGTGTTTGTCTACTCATTAGGTCTAACTGTGTGTTGTGGTTCTACCAGGCCACCCTGACCCTGCAGATCTCCTACATCCCTCCTCCAGGATCAGCTCCAATCTTCCAGCCGCCCCCCCAGCCAGAGTCCCTGCCCCATATCAACCCCAGTGTGGAACTGGACACCGTTACAAGTAAGAGTAAAAAAAAATCAATCTAGATATATTTAACTCTTCTTTCAGGTCACATCCTGACAATACTTAACGCTGAACCCGATAACGTTGGTTATGCGACTTCCTTTCTGTCCATCAGTGATTTCTCTGGACACTTTCTGCGAGGAAGATACCGAGAGTATGATAATGGTGGAGCCTGCAGAGGAACCGGGGCCTGATGACAGTCGTTCCATGGTGATTGTTGGTCCTCAGGGGCCTCCTGGACAGGAGTCTCCCACCGCACATACACCCAAACGCTCACCACCGGCCTACAACGCCCACGGTGGACTGAAGAAGAGGAGGAGAGGCTCGGGCAGTCAGCCCAAACCTCTGCCCAACAAACCTCAGGACATACAGGTTGGAGGCGTTTTCACCTGCGTTCCCTGAACATAAAGCTCTAACTCTGTTGTTCGGTTATTTCTTGAAATTCATTGAGAACTAATAGTTTCTTCTAGAACTTCAAAGTAACCAAGAGACGACAGGTGAAAGTACAATCAGAAGAAAGAAATGCTTGGAAAAACACTAACTTGTGGTGGTCTTTCATTGCCCTGTCTCTCCACGATTCACTTCAATTCTCTGGTCTACGTGGTCTAGATTTGAAAAAAACCTTGTGTCTGATGTCGGCTGTATCGTCAACACGGCTGCCTAAAACGTCTGTGACATTATTTTCTCTCCACGACAAACACAACGCAACAATGGACGAAAAAGTTAAATGAGGCCACGACACTCGCCATCCTCTCCCACGGTTTCCAAAAGTGCCTTGGCCAAGTGAAGTTGACCTTCCGTCCATCGCTCGGAGCCCGTAAATCAAGTCCATGTGGTCTAGTGCGATCTGACGTTGCTCTCTTGCCAATCAACGGAAATCAGTCTGCTGACGTCAGATCTTCAGCTTGACTGAGGACGTTCTAAGAACCAAGCTGACAATTGGTGGGATCCCTCAATGGAAAGACTTTAAGTCAAGCCCATTGAAAAAGGCCTTCAATGACAATCTTTAAGACTTAGACCCCACGACGTTTACAACCAAGTATATAGTTTCTCAGTTGACTTATTATTCTGTCCAACCCTTCTAAACGTAGTGTCTCACTGGGCTGCATCTGTTGGTGATGAGTTGGAGACATGAAATTGCAAGAAAACACACAAATCTTCTCTTGGAATCTAAGTTCATGCTCAATCATCCAGGTACAAAATCCAGTAATGGTCAGTCAGGTCATCTGGACAGTTGCTTTTTTGTGGAAAGACGTTTCGCCCTCTATCCAGAGGGCTTCATCAGTCTGAGGAGTCCCAAGTAAACTGGTTTCCCCTCTAAGCAGTACACTCCTTTAGTGGACCAACCAGTTTGCTGGTGATAAGATAAACCAACGTCTTTCCACAAAAAAGAAACGGTCCAGATGATTGACCATTATTGGATTTTGTACCTGGATGATTGAGCATGAACTTTGATGTCTTGAACCACTTTGGCTGTGGCTGCCCGCCTGGGAGGAGTCGACAGGGGACAGGACAGCCCCCAGAAACCATCTTATCATCGTTGTATAAGTCGCAGGGCATGCTAATTTATGCAAAAAACTAAATTATACAGTGAAAAATACGGTATATTTTTAACAGTATTTGGTGAACTCTTCCGTTCAGGTCCGTGTGCGTGTCATCGAGGCGAGACAGTTACCAGGCATCAACATCAAACCCGTCGTCAAGGTAACCGTCGCTGGACAATCCAAGAGGACTCGCATTCGAAAAGGCACCAACCCGGTGTTTGATGAGGTAAACTTTTTTTTTCTTTTAGATAACTTTTATGCTTTGGTGACCAAATCCTAAATTCTCCAGTTAAACGTGGATATCTTGTTGGTTTTTGTCTTCGCAGACGTTCTTCCTGAACTTTTTTGAAAGTCCCTCTGACCTGTTTGACGAACCGATCTTCATCACTGTATGTCAAGAAACTGATCTTTGCACGGTTTTAACAGCAGCCTTGGTATGAACAAATCAATGCTTTCCTCTCCAGGTTTGTGACTCTCGCTCCCTGAGAACTGATGCAATCATTGGTGAATTCAAGGTATTTTAATTTCCCTGTAGTAGAACTGGACAATCATTGAGTTTTTGTGTTGTAGACATTTTTCTGTTCTGGTTTAAACCAATATTTTGTATAATCAAACAGAAAAATGAGAAAAAAATCTAAACCCACTTCCTGTTTTCCACAGCTGGATGTGGGCACCGTATACAATGAGCACAGTAAGTCGGTGCTTCTGGTGAGAAAATATGAAAGTGTTTGGTGAAAACTTTGTCTCAATCTGGTCATATTTTGTAGCTGGTATTTACACACCTCTGCACATTTCAGGACACTGTTTCTTGAGGAAATGGTTGCTGCTGTGTGACCCCGATGACCTATCTGCTGGGGTTAAAGGTTACCTGAAGGTCAGCTTGTTCGTATTGGCAGCTGGAGATGAGCCACCGGTGAGTAGTACGACTGTAGACCAGACATTTAAATTGATTACATTTTTATTGTTTTACTTTCTTATTGTGGTATGTTGTAATGTTTGTATGGTATGAGACTTTAATTCCTCTTTTTCTGGATGTAAATCACATTTTTTGGATGATTGTTTCCTCTGGTATCTGATGCTGTGCAGCTGGAAGGATTTTTACCTACACGTTTTTTACATTTGGGCATTTGTTATGATGCGTAGCTATAACAACAATGTGGTTTTTACAACCAGGAGCTGCTGATTAACATCTCAAAAGCTCAAATAATACCTCAATTACAGACCCAAATCTCAAATTAGTTGAAAAGGAGGCTCCGTGGATGCATTCCCATCTCCCTTCTGGCTGTGCTTGAGTGCCTGACCACTGAGATCCTGGAACTAGCAGGAAACGTGGCTCGTGACAGCAGAAGGACTGGGATTGTCCCCTGACATCCGTAGCTGCCTGTCCGCAGTGACGAGGAGATCGGCAGGTTGCTGGGAGGAGTGGCCATTGCTGTGGGAGGAGTTCCACTCGGCATTTGGGCGGTCCTGCAGCTTGAGGGAACTGAGAGGCCCACCGAGTCCGGGTGGACCGATCAAACGGTATCTGCGGCCATTTTCTTCAAAGCTGCTGTGGGACAGATCTTTACCTTTACAAGAGATTCTTCCTGCCTACAGCCATCCATCAGTATCTATAACATCTCTTAATGAAACGAGGATAACGAGTTACAACAGTAGTTAATTTCACTTTGGGATGAATAAAGCATTTTTAAATTGAATTGAACTTAATGTTGTCTACATTTATCCTGAATCTATGACTAGGTAAGACAGACTGTAGACTAAAGCTAAAAACAACAGAGTTATGATATTTGGTTGATTGTTCCTCAACCACGTTGATTCCACATTGAAATCTCAATCTTCTACTGTTTATCTGTTGTGGTGACACAGAGGTTATAGGAAAAACCCAGAATTCCCTCTCCCAAGAAGCATTTTCCAGCACCTCCTGGAGGACCTCAAGGCATTCCCAGGACAGAGGAGGTCCTTTTGACAAGTTCTAGATCTGCCCTGGTGTCTCTTCTCAGTGGGACATGGTTGGAAGACCTCCAAAGCAAGGCATCCATGTGACATCCTGACCACCTGAACCATTTCAACGGACTCATTTCAAGACAAAGGGGCAGTGCGTCGTTTCTAAGCCTGTTGCACTATCTCTAAAACTGAGCCAGGCAACCCTTCAGAGGACCATTTCAGCCAACTGATCTCATTCTTCCCATCATGATCCAAACGTCACGACCACAGGTGTAGGTTGTAATTTAGACAGACCAGTAAATCAAGAGCTTTGCCTTTCAACTCAACTTTCTTCACCACAGCTGACCATAGCAACTCCTTCATTGGTGAGGACAAGGCCCTGATTTATCAATCTTCTCCCACTACTTCCTACCATCACTTGTAAACAAGACCCCCAGATACTTGGACTCCTCCATCTGAGGCAAAGACTCCCTCCTGACCCAGACATTAAAGTCATGTCTATCATTCACCAGAGTGAAACAGCAAGACCCCTGTCTGACTGTACTTTCAAAACGAATATAAGAGCAACTCATTAAAAATAGGTTTTCTAAGTAAGCATGTTGGGTTTTGATTTTTCATGCCATGTGTTGAGTTTAACAACGCTGAACACGTTTGCATCAATCCAACACATGTTCTTGGTATTTTTCTTGTGTTTTTGTGAAAGTTGTATTGAAAGCGTTCATCGTTAAACTGATCTGTGTTTCCAGGCGGATAAACGTGAGTGCGTTGAAGAAAAGGAGGACATTGAGGGAAACCTGCTGAGACCTGCCGGTCTTTCTCTGAGAGGAGCCGTCTTTTCTCTGAGGATCTTCAGAGCTGAAGACCTGCCACAAAGTTAGTCTCGGCTGTGTCTCTAATTTGTCTCCTAATTAAGCAGAAACCAAGAGTTTTGTTTCTTTCAATAGTGGACGACGCCTTTATGGACGGGATGAGGCGGATCCTCGGGTATGATTCTAACAGGAAGAACTTGGTGGATCCAATGGTGGAAATCCACTTTGCTGGCAAAACGGTATGGCTTCTCAATAATTTCCATCTTATTTGTCTTCAACATTAAGACAGTAAGATCACATGTCTTTGTCTTTCAGGTCTGCACCAAAATTTTGGAGAAAAACGCCAATCCACAGTGGAACCAGAACTTGGCGATGCCCATTAGAGTGAGACTCACAAACCACTGTAATGGGTTGTGAAGTGGATCCACTGCAAGACATTATTAAACTGCATTTGTGTCTTCTCTTTTGTTAGTTTCCCTCCATGTGTGAGAAGATGAGGATTCGAATTCTCGACTGGTGAATTCCAGCACATTTTCAGTTTGGACAAATATTGACCCGTTGCATGAAATCTAGGTGTTTGGGGCTACTAGGGTGTCAGGAGTGGAAGGTTTTTGGAGCAGAACCCAGTGGTGCAAGCATGACTCAGAGAACTGGGGAGTAAAATAAGAAGCACTTTAATAAACACAAAATCATGAGCTGTTGTGGCAGCAAAACACTCACATGGCTTGAAGGAACATGAGGGAATCACCAGAGGCTCGAGGAGGGAAACCAGACGATGCCCAGACAACGAGTAACACAAAGACACAGACTTATGTACACAAAGAGTAACAAGACGCAACCACACACACACCTGAACAGGACACGCAGGTGGAACCGATCAGGACAATCAACATGGAAACCATGGGGTGTAAGAACGAGGGTCAGCCACCAGAGGGCACCATCCTTGCATAGGGTTAACACAAATACACTTTGAAGAAGAAGAAGACAAGAAAACGTCAGGAATATTGCACAGTTTGATTTGCACAAATAAGATAAAACATCAGTTATTATAAGAAATATGATGTAGGCAATTAGATAAATCAAGCCTAAGGACCAAAGTTCATGCTCAATAATCCAGGTATAAAATCCAACAATGCTCAGTCAGGTCATGTGGACGGTTTCTTTTTTAAGCTAAGGCGGTTCATCCTTCATCCAAAGGACTTCCGACCTGACCTTCCAGCCTGAGGACTTTCAGTTAAGGAGATTAAATTTCCCTCCTGTGCACGGTTCAGATCCAAACCTGGAGGTTCGAAGTCAGATGTTGGGGCCGCCTCCAAGGACCAAAATGTTGGATAAAGATATCCTCTATTCATCTTAAAGAAGCCACACTGGAGGACAGGAGAAGATTTTTAACTGGTTTTACTTGCAAGGGCACATTTTCACTACAGGTTACACAGATGTACAGAAGCAGTAACAAAGTTCATGCTCAATCATCCAGGTATCAAATCTAATAATTCTCAGTCAGGTCATCTGGACAGTTTCTTTTTTATAGAGACATTTCGCCCTCTATCCAGAGGGCTTCGTCAGTCTGAGGAGTTCCAGTAAACTGTTTCCCCACCAAGTAGTAAACTCCTTAAGTGGACCAACCAGTTTGCTGGATCTAAGATGGTTTCTGGGGGCCGTCCTGTCCCCCGTCGACTCCTCCCAGGCAGACAGCCAAAGTGGTTCACGGCAACAAAGTTCATGCTCAATCATCCAGGTACCAAATCCAATAATTCTCAGTCAGGTCATCTGGACAGGGTGCAGAAGAAGTATACACGCACGGAGCCCAGTCACGAGAATCTGCCACGGGCAGCGTGCGAGGCTTGTTTTTATAACCTTATCAGCTCTCGGCTCACAGACAGACTGGTGTCCTTGGACTGTCAGCTGCACATGCAGGATCATATCAGCTCCTCATTCAGCTCTCTTTGCCAACTCAAACACCTGGTTCATGGGCAGTTATCATTCTCAGCCTTTATAGTTAAAAACATCCATGAACATTGATCACTTTGTCTTTAAAACTTGTTAAAATCTGGTGTTTGTCACCCTCAAGGAGACTAAAAATTAAATTTGTAAAGGGATCTCTGATCAATAGACCTTGTTTGATAAACAATTTAATTATTTTAAATTAATAAGATGTTCATGTACCTTTTACTTTAAACGACTTTGAGTCTTTTCTTCTCGTTTCAGGGATAGAGCCAGTCATAATGACGTCATCGGCACTACTCACCTCTGCGTGTCCAAGATCTCTGCCCCAGGAGGAGAAATAGATGGTAAAAAACTGGTTCAAACTGGTCTGAACCAGACTAACATACAAATCCAAACTGGTTCTGGATTCGACCTCACCAGAGCGTCCATTCAGTTGTAATTTTATTTTCAAGCAAAATTATCAAAAGCAAACTCAGTTGTCTTCTGACTGGTCTAAAGCACTTGACTGGATCTAAAACAAATCTTTAATTTAGTTTTCAGTTATTACCTGAAAACATAATAGGTCTGTTTGGTTGGTAAAATGATAACGTACTGAAAACAGTCTCTTTAAATGTGAATATTTATCCAGTTTAGCAGCCAGAGACAATAACTTGATTAGCTAATGTAGCTAACATAGTGACAAAAAGCTTTGTGTTGCATCCTGGGTGTTTAAAAATGCACTGCACCTTGTTTGGACAATAGACGGTAAAATAATGTGTCCGAGCATTTCAATTTTTAACACCACCTAATCTTGCTAACTCATGCTAAGTAGGGATTGGAGTTTTAAATAAAAACTAGAAAGTTCCCGGATACTACCACACCAAATTTCAGCTCTATATGTGTAAAAATAGCTGAGTTAATGCAATTTATATTGAGCTTTGGTGGCCATCTTGACTTTTTTAAATTAATTATTTATTTGGCATTGGTCTCAGCTACTGCCACGCCAAATTTCAGCTTAATATCTCTACAAATGGCTGATTTACAGTATTTTTCCTTTTTAGCCGTGATGGCCATCTTGGATATTTGATTTACAACCAGAGTCCATAAAAAATTACTAATAAAAATGGCGTCTTTGTTTGCAAATGATGCCGCCATGGTAACTTGAAATGCCAATAAAAGTAATAGCACACATCACGGTGTCAAGCCGGTCACTTTGATACAACGTTTGTGGGAGTACATGTAGGCCTGTCACGATAAACAATAAATCAATTAATCGCATGATAAAAGAAAATTATCGACCTCATTTTCATTTATCGTTTCTTCGTGTCTCTCTCTTTCTACTGAAGACACTGGATGACAAAAGGCTCAACTCCGGTGCTCTTCACTGACTCCTCCCTTTCCCTTTTCTCTTTAAAATCTGTTTTAATCGTCCAAAATTGCGTTTTTGGATCGTTTAAAGCAGCTAAGCTGAGAAGCTAAGCTACGAGCTAAGCTAACAGGCCGACCGCGGGAAAACAACCTCCGTCTAGTCGAAGCTCGAAAAATTCACGGTTGAAATCCGTGCCTTCGTGTAAAAAGTTGTTTTTCTCTGCAAAAAGAAGCTGTGAACTTACAATAATAATAACAATAATAAAACTTACAATAATTACTAATTATTGTCAAATTTCAAACAATATTTTCGTTTATCGCAATAATTTCTGAGACAATTAATCGCCCAGCAAAATTTGTTATCGTGACAGGCCTAGGTACACGTTGCGGTTCGATAAAGCTACAAAAAGGTCTGAACTCGTGATATGTTTAATAAATCTGTTAAAGATAAATTATTGGACAAGAACGGAGTGTGGAGAGTTTGCCATCTTTAGCCTGGCTTGTTGTTTGTAGTAGCTAATGCTAACGCTAGTCGGCGAGTGTTGCGAAACACGTTTCTGCTGCGTTCCTTTTACTTCAGAAGTCAGAACCCGGATCTAGATATGACATCAGACCCGACTTTATCGTGTTTGAGTCAGAAAACTACAAAACTTTTCACTAATGGTTGTGCTTAGCATTTAGGCTAACTACCATTAGCGATGCTAGTCACAAACTATGTTTAAATAAATACGTTTCTCTGCATTTTGTGCATTCAAAGCAACATTTTGACACGTTCCTTCTACAGCAGAAATCATTTTGTTCTTCATGGCGTCGTTTTGACTCTCCTGCTGCCCTTGGGTCAAAATGGACACATTCTTATCACTGAGGACATTTTGACTCAAGGCCAGAGCTGCTTTTTGCTCAGGGGTTAAAATGAGTTTTATTGGACCCATTTTGTCCTTAGCCATTTTATTTTATTTTTTATGTAGAGCATGTCCTGACCTCTTGGATGGATTGGTGGTTTGCCAATGTAAAGTGTGGACATTTAGAAATGCACGGAGACTAACGGTAATGTTTGTGCGTTAATTATAGACCGTGCTTGAGTTTTCCGTCTTTGAAGTGGCTTGATTCAACAAAACACGAGTTTTGCTCCTTGTTTGAGTCAAATAACACTTTGTTTGTCTCTGTTGGAGAAATCTTGTGTAAGTCGTCAGTTTATTGGTGATTAATATTATTGACACCCAAGAACAAAAAGCAACAGATCTTTACGCTTGAGTTTGGGTTTGAGCTGCGTTCAAAGACCTCTGTTTCCTCTTTTTCCGAGTTTGAACATCTGTATTTTTAACCATCCTTCCTCTCTACGCATTCAGATGACATGAGTCCTCGGAGCGTCCACTCTGGCAGTACGTCCACCGTCCTCTCTACAACACTATTGTTTTGTGTCCAAACTTGCTGCTGTCAATTTGTTTCTTTCTCTTTGTCAGATTTTAATAATTTCAAATCGATGTGACACATCCTAAATCTCCCTAATTTTTTTTTTTTACTTCAACTTTGTAGCTGTTAATTGTTGACTGTCTAATAAAAGTTTCTGTCCTTTCTCTGTCTTTGCAGTCGATGACAGTCTTGGTTTCCTGCCGACGTTTGGTCCATGTTTCATCAACCTGTATGGGAGCCCCAGAGAGTTCACCGCCTTCAACGACCCTCATGAGGCTCTAAACCTCGGAAAAGTGAGCCTAAACTGTCTTTCTTTTTAAAATCAAATAAGATGAGTGGGAAATTACCCCCGTCGGTCTAATTAACCCCTCATTTTTTCTCACCATGATGCTCACGCCAACGTTTTGATGAAACATGGTGAAAACTTGGTGATTTACACTCTTGAGATTTTGTGGGATACGCAATTTAAAGTTTTGAGTGTTGAGAGATAAGAGATGAGTTGGTTTCCGTGGTAAAATGTTTGAGTGCAGTTGTCTCAAGAAAGTTTAATTCCAGGGGGAAGGCGTGGCATACCGAGGAAGAGTTTTACTCCAACTGACCACGAAGCTGGTGGACAAGCTGGAGCAGAAATCTGAAGACATCCCTTCAGACGATCTGCTGGTGGTGGAGGTGAGAGAACATCCGAAGGTTGATCCCGACAGAAAAACAGACGAAAACTTTCCCTCTCCTCTCGGTCTTCCAGAAGTTTCTGAGGAAGAGGAAGTTTTCTCTCTTCGTAGCGTTTTACTCGGCCACGCTCCTCCAGGACGTCGACGATGCTATCCAGTTTGAGGTCAGCATTGGTAACTACGGCAACAAGTTCGACTACACCTGCCTCCCTCTGGCCTCCACCACGCAGTTCAGCCGCGCCGTGTTCGACGGTACGTTAGAGGTCAAAGGTCAGCCTGTGAAACTGAAAGAGCACTGGTGTGTTCTGGGAGTTTACCTGGGTGTTGGCTTGGGTCAAGTTCTCCGTTAGATCTTACGGTTTTTTGTACCTTTTTTGTTTCTATATATTATTTTAAGGTTCACGTTTAATTTGTCTTTGCAGTATTTCCTGTTGCATTTTAATTAGCTGGAACCTTTTTTATTTTGTTTGTTTAATTCATCTTCCAGGGGTTTACTGATAACCGCCACTCAACCTGTCTTTGTCAGTGAATCTTGTTTGGTTTTCTTTGTTTGCAACTAGATTATTGGCTATGCTCACGTTCTTTGTTTGACTTCAAATTTATAGCTAACTTATTCTGCTTAGGTTCATACAGACTGGGACTTTTTTAGATTGTATACTCTAGCAGACTGGTACCACTGTTGTACCGTTCTAATAAACTGGCTTTTCCGTGTGGAACAGTTTTTGTTTTATTGCTCAGGTTAACAACTGAGATTAAATATCTGTTGGACAGTTTAGCCCATTAGCTGCTATAGGCAGATAGATCAGAAGGTTATCAGCAAAACAGTATAGGTAATGATGCAATTAAAGAAACGGAACCTATCGGAAGTATATATGACCATTTAAAGGGGTCAAATATGGAGCCTTGGGGTACTCCACAATCAAGTGGGGACACGTGTGAATAATACCTCATTGAATGGCCAGACAAAAACAAGCTACCATCTGACAGGTATGACTGGAAATGTTTGACATCTTAAATGCAACACAAGTTTTTTTTTTCTCACTCGCTCTCGTGCAAGGCAGACGCTTTTTCCCCCTCCTCCTGCTCTCCTGTTCTCCTCATGGATCTAGTAAGCTGGACTTTCAATGCAATTGATAAAATCTTTTGAAACGAAGCGACAGGGTCCTGGAGAGCCCTCATGCCCCACTGAGACACACGCGACAGGATACGTCATGGATCCGTGGGGAGTTTGGGAGCTGATGTGTCTTTCCATTTTGTCTCAGGAGGACGCCAAAGATGTTTATATAAGTGGAACCATGCTAGCAGGTTTTCTTCTTTTTGGCATCGGCAGATTCGTATGTTATTGGCTATTAAAGATGACGGCAGCAGTTTCAGCCATGACAAAACTGCAGAGTCTGTGTGAAGGTTTGGTTTGTGCTTCGAGTACTCAAAATCAGCTGATTTACGAGCTAAACCATAAGATGGAAGTGATTTGTGAGAATCGCAGGCCACCTGCGACTTCTGGGACTCGCCGGCATGTTGGCGACGACCTTGAAGGAGGCTCATAGCATGGACCAGTGGAGTGCCCACAAATCTGTCCCTTTTGGATGAAAGTACCAGAGGACTCCAGGCTGACAATAAAAAAACTGTTTGCCTGAAAAAAAACCAACAACTGTGGCTTATCTGAATCTGACTCACCCGTTTGGCCTCGAAGCAGGCCAACTTATCAAATTTCTCCTAGGATATGTGCAAACTAAGGAAAAGCTCTGTCTATCGCACCCCCATCCTCGAGAACTTCTCTGAAGGCTTATCAAAGCTGTACCAGCTGACCAACATGCTATCAGGACTATGGCGTTGTCTGGAAGTACTTCCTGGACTAATCTCACTGTCTTGTCGTCAAATGCACATGTAATGTGTTGGTAGAGTTTTTTTGATGTCTTAAATCATGGCCTGATAAGGACATGGTGTGAAGAGATCTTTTTGTAATACCACTCACTATCCATCCTCATGGCCTTTTCCCCTTTTCTGTCTAAAAAGTATTCTGATAAAGAATAAGAGGCCATGCTCACAGGAGCAGCAGCAACGTGCACTCCGCCCATCTTTCAGACGACTGTACAAATATAATCTCAGTGTATTCCAGTACAATGATAATAAAACTTATTCTGATTCTGATTCTGATTCTGAAGTTAGGAAGAACAAAAGTATTTGGGTCATTCTTTCTCACTACAGCCTGTTGAAAAGTTTTAAACACGAATGAGGAATAATTATACCAACATTATCTTTGTTCATGGTCAATAAAATAACATTTTTTACCGGTTTTGTTATCACAAGTGGAGTTTATTTGTTGAAAGTTTTCAGCTTTACGTTTGGGGTTTGTTCCAGGCTGTCATTACTACTACCTGCCGTGGGGAAACATCAAGCCGGTGGTGGTTCTGTCCTCTGAGTGGGAAGATATCCGTCCGAGGATTGAGGCTCTCAACATGCTGCTGACCATCATTGACCACCTGGTGAGTGGTGCTGTACCCGAGAACTTTTTCCAAACACTAACGAGCGCTACAAAAAACTTTTGTTGATTAAATGCATTCAGGAGGCAAACCTGCGTCGGGTGCAGCTGGAAGTGAAGACCAGCAGCGATCTGGACGAGGTGGAGCTGCGTGTGGTCGAGCTCTTGGATCAGCTGATCGCAGACTGCAGGTAAATTCGTGAAGAACTTGTTGGACCCGCAGTAAATGCCGCCCGTCTCTCACGTGTCTCCGTCTCTGTTCGGCAGTGAGGAGCTGCCCTCCTTGGAGCAGTGGCAGTGTGCGACTCCTCTGGACCGCTCTCTGAGACACATTCGAAGCCTCCACCTGCAACAGATCGTAGCCGCAGCTCTGGCTCTGAAACACGGGCCTGAAACCGAGCTCTCCACGGTTCTGGAGCAGGCCGAGGACTGGGCCAACAGACTCAAGAACATGGCTGAGGAGGTGGTACCTCGTTTTTCTCACAGACTACTTTTAAACACAAAGCGCTATAAGAGTCAGGAACTCAAGGGCTTGAACCAAAGGCACCTTGTTTACTTTTCTTTTGAAGAGCCAACAAACGCTCTTTCTGTCTGGTTGTCCCTCTCAGCCCCAGAACAGTCTTCCAGATATCGTGATCTGGATGCTGCAGGGTGACCGCCGGGTGGCATACCACCGAATCCCGGCGCACACCGTCCTCTTCTCTCAGGAACATTGTGGGAAACACTGCGGACAGCTGCAGAACGTCTTCCTCAAGGTACGTAGGTGCGCACTCTCACTCACTCCTCTCCGGAGACAAAATGTGACCGACCTGTTGTGTTTTTGCTGCTCAGTGCCCGCAGGGCAGCGGAGGAGAAGCCAAACTTCCCGGTCAGCTGAGGGTGAAAGTTTGGTTCGGATTGGCCGCGGACGCCAAACACTTCAACCAATACGCCGAAGGAAAACTGTCCGTCTTTGCCGAGACGGTAAGAGATGGTTCTGGTTGGGAGTCTTTATAAAGGAAAAGTTTACAAGACAGTGGTGAGACCAGCTATGTTGTATGGTCTGGAGACAGAGACATGGACAAAAAGACAGGAGACAGAACTGGAAGTGGCAGAAATGAAGATTAGCAGGTTCTCCTTAGGAGAGACAAGGATGGAGAAGATTAGGAATGAGATCATCAGAGGTACAGCACAGGTTGAACAACTGGGAGATAAAGTTAGAGAGACCAGACTGAGATGGTTTGGACATGTCCAGAGGAGGGACAGTGGTTTTGGACATGTCCAGAGGAGGGACAGTGGTTATATTGGTAGAAGGATGTTAGAAATGTAGCTGCCAGGAAAAACACAAAGAGAAGATACCGTATTTTTTGCTGTATAAGTCGCAGTTTTTTTGCATAAGTTAGCATGCCCTGTGACATATACAGCAAAGAGACATATTTATATATTTTTTCCATATTTATAACTCAATTTTTGGCTGAGATCTGACGATTTCATTCATTCTGACATGGAAAATATTGAACACTACCATGTTCAGCCACTAGAGGGCTGTCGACATATATGGCAAGCCAAGCGCCTCATTAATTGGTAAAAGTGGCTATTATTGAGACACTTGGCTTGCCATACAGGCCACATTCGTCTCGCTCCAGAACTCCTGGAGCAAACGTCAAATCAGCTGAATTTTGCTGCCCAGGAGAAATGCAACCGATTTGACCATTAAAGTGCATTTATTAAGGAAAAGTTAGACTGAGACACACCTTTGCTATAATTTCGAGCAAACAAATAATTGTTTTTAAGTGTTAATCTGGTTAAATTCTTGTTAAAGTCCTCCCGTGCACGCTCCCGCAGCCGCCATTTGGCAGCCAATTGATTGGCACACCGGCCCACATTTCTGGGTTGTCAGCGGTGACGCATAACAGATGCGACTTATACGACGAAGTGACATATTTATGGCTTTTCCCACTTTATTTGACATATTTGGACTGATGCGACGTGTACAGTGTAAAATATGATATATGGATGCAGTTAGAGAGGACATGGAGGTAGTTGGAGTGAGGACAGAGTGAGATGGAGGAGGATGACTCGCTGTGGACCCTGAAGAGGGAAAAAAACCAAAGAAGAAGAAGAATTCTTCATATTGGAACTGAATGATTTTACAACAATCCAAATAGAAGTACAGTTTATTTTATATTGTGCTTAAATGTTGTTTCAAATGAACCCCCGTGTTGAAACCTTCTCTCCGGTCCTCGGCAGTATGAGAACCAGACTCGGCTCGCCCTGGTCGGGAGCTGGGGAACGACGGGGCTAACGTATCCCAAGTTCAGCGACGTCACCGGAAGAGTGAAGCTGCCCAAAGAGAGTTTCAAACCCTCACCTGGATGGAACTGGGCTGGAGACTGGTTCATCAGCCCCGAGAGGACGTGAGTCCACTAGTCCGCACCTGTCCTGTTTCAATTTAACCCTCCTGCTGCCCTTGGGTCAAGATGACCCACAACACCTCATAACTGAGGTCTCATTTTGGACCGAGAGCAGCAGGAGAGTTAAATTATCATTATTTTACTT